CCCCCCCCCCCAAAGGCGAGGAGCCCATGGCTCGAAGCACCGCCATCTGTTTGTCCAATGTCTGTTTGTCCATCCCTGTCGCTCGCTGGAAAGGTGGCGAGGGGGGGGGGTGGTTAAAGGGCCGCGGTGCCTGGTTAAAGTACACTTGTGCCCGTCGCTGTTCCCCCGCCAGCGCCTGAGAACAGCATTGGTGTCACCAGCGCGTCCTTGCCCAGGGACCTGCAGACCATAGGGCTGAGGGGTGGGGTGAGAAGGGGGTGTCCAAAAACAACGGGCCCCCCGGGAGGGAAAGCTCTGGAGCGTGGCAGGGGAGGGACAGGCACGTACCCCGGTGCGGACTCTGCCCCCAACCTCTGCACTTGACCTTTGCAACCCGTCCTCGGAGCCTGAGCGGAGCAAAGCTGGGAGCAGCCCGCTCTACGTCAGCCGCCGGGGGGGACCCCGACAGCACCAGGGTGCTGTGGGAGCAACCCACCCCCTGCCTCAGTTTCCCCACTGCTGGACAAAAGCTGGGAATCAGGAGTCGGCTGTCAGGGAGGGAGAATTAATGGAATTAATTCATGTGGGTCACACGCAGATAAAAAAAAAGTATGTGGCCAGGCCCCACAAAGCCAGGCTGGGGGCCGGGGACATCCCCGAGCCCGTCCCCAGCCCAGGGGACATCACTGTGGCCCCGTCCCAGCACCAGGCACTGAGCTCGCCCGGCCTCGGTGGCGGTGGGCTTCTCCCAGCACCGGGCAGCACTGCCCCCCCCCAGCAAACTACCCGGTTCCTTTTCCAAACGGCGGCAAAGCATACAGGCGGCAGTGAGGAGCCCTCCACCCCCCCTCTGCCCCCGCTGAACGCCCGGTGATGGGAACGGGAGATGCTCAGGGACGTGCTGGGACCCCTGGTGCGGTGCCGGCCCCTGGGCCAGTTCCCCCGTCCCTACCACGCTCCCACAGCATAAATAAATCATGGGCTGTAAGGAAGAAGGGCTGTGGACGCGGCCGCAGCAACAGGGACGCGCCGACGGGCAGGCGATGCCGAGGGTCCGGGTGGCGGAGACCCCATGGAGACAGGGTGAGGGGAAGAGGATGGCTCCGTGTGTGGGAAGGCACAGCTCCCGCTCCAGGCACTGGCAACTCATCTCCCTGCTTCTGTGCCTCAGTTTCCCCTCTACTCGGTGCTGCCCCTCTTGGGGAGAGGTTTCCACTGAGGGGAAGGGGGGGGCTGCTGGTGTTGGGGGACGGTGCCAGGCACCATCTCCCCCCTCCATGTCTTCCCTCGCCTTTTCTTTCTGCTCCAACCACACCTGATCGGAAACAAATATCCCAGCGACCGGGTAACGTTTCATCACAGCACCTGATTAGTCACGGGCAAACCCTGCCTGCTGCACCCCAGCCTGCCATGGGATTAGTCACCCGAGGGAGGGCAGGGGCTGGGGGGGCTCGGCCCCTCTCCC